GCTGGTGTACATGAAGGCCAGGCTGCTGTTCCAAGCAGGATCTTGGGGATGGGGTTCATTAGATGCTCCCCTGGTTTTTTTCCTTCACAGCCAAAGGTAGATGCTGTCCAGTGCTTCCTGTCTGCTCTTCAGGAGGTGCATGGTGTCTGTACAACGTTCTGTGAGGTTTTTTGAGACTCATGGTGGTGCCAGTTGCCTGATCCCTGCAGCATCTCTCATCAATTCTGAAGGCAGTTTTACTCAATTTTACTCAATAATGCTGGTTTTGCATTAATTGATATTTGGTGAGGAGGGAAGAAAACGAGCACACTCTCTGTTTTATAGGAGTAACTCCGAACTTTTCCAGCATCAGACACTCTCCAAAGGAGTTTCTGCTCCCAAGGCAGGAGTAGGGGAGGAGGTGCACGCCTGGGGACAGGTCCTGTTTCTTTTGATCGTGCTCACAGCGTGTTCTGGAGACCTTTGAGGTTCGGAAACTCCGCGTTGAGCGTCACACAGTGAGGTATTCCTGGTGCTTTGAGAGAGGAGCAAGTGCTATGGGAACGTGCAGAACTGGGTCAGGAAGACTAATTTAAGCATGTCTGTGTCAACTGACCAAAAGTGACAGAGCGAGGGTCACAAGGCCAGCTTTCCTGGCAGGACATGCCTGATGCCTGCACTAATGAGCTTCTCGCAGTGTGGTGTCCTCAACAGTGCTCCAGGCCTGCCTACACAAATTGAAACTGCAGAGGTGTGATGCCTTTGTGGCTTTTCATTAGAGGTTTGCCATTCTTAATGAAGAGCGTTTCAGGTGCTCTAAAATTATTGCTTTGTCTCTCAGTTATTGGGTGATGAATTCTTGCTGCTCCAAACTGGAAGGAATTAAAGCGCAGCTCTGTCCCTGCAAGTGGAAAATGCAGTGCAGGAAAGTGTCACTGCTGTTACTGCTGTTATCACATTTAGCTGTTGGTTGGGACTGGTTGAATTTGAAGAAAGAAATATATTTATTACCCACACAAAGCTCCCCCTCCACCAGCAGCTCCTTAGAACAGCACCCAGAGGTGCAGGCAGGTGAGTGCTGCTTGTGGCTGTAGGCCTGAAGCAGGAGAGCTTTTTCTGCTGCTTGCTTTGCAGAAAACAAGCTTTTTCTCTCTGACAGTCCAGCTGAGCACAGAGCAGTGTTTGCTTCCTGTAATGTCAGTGAGAGGTGGAGTTGAGCAGGAGAATGGTGCTCTGAGTGACTTCTCCACAGACTGCTCCTTGCCAACCTAGATTATGCTTTAAGATTTTATTTTTACCATTATTTTGTCAAGCCTGCAGGAAATCCACCGTTTCCATTATTTCCACAAGCTTCACTTGGCACTTGCTGTGTGAAGTCTATGAATCCATAGGATCAAATCAAAGCTATTCCATTTGACCATCCGAACTACAAACATGCTGACTGTGAAGCATTATTTTTAAATTGCCTGTGAAAATTTAAAAGGATTTCCAAATATTTTTAATAATTCCCTAAAACAGTCTAAGGACATCTGTTAAAGTACTGAATTTCCCTGAAGACAGCCCTGGTTGGGATTGCTTCAGCTGCAAATTAAGGTTGTCAGTCAAAGGGCTTTTTCTGTTTCAGTCTCTGATCTGAGAGTTTTTAGAATCTCTTCCAAAGTGAGCCAAAGAAAGACAGCTAGTGAGCTGTTCTGGCTTGTTTTGCCATGTGTTTAACCTAGCAAACAGTAAGCTGATACCTTTTGTGAACTTTTCTATATTTCGCTCAATACCTCACTGCTTGGTGAGGAACCAAGCTAAGCAGCTTTGACATATTTTTGCACTTTTCATATTTTTCCTTCTGCAGCATGTGTCCAATGTTTTAATAGATGGAGTAGCTGCAAATGCTGTTGTGTGTCTGAAAACATTTGGATTATTTTTGAGGCACTGGCTCTGCTAATGAGGAGCTGCAGTAAGAGGCAGAATGATGTATTTACTCTCCAGGATTTCCTGCAGAGATGAATAGTAGGTTCATGGTGAGCTGAAAGGACTTGACCAGCCCAAAGAGTCTTTAAAAGATGTGCTTGTTTATTGCATGCTGATATTCTAACTCCAGCTCCATCAAGTGATATGACAGTTTATGAAAATAGTGCTTCACTACATAACTCTTTTATTGTGGTGCTGATGCCATATTGATCCAGATTTCCACCTGCTCATATGCATCAGAATACTTCATTTTGTGTCATGGTAACATGAAAGTGTAAGAGAAGGGGAAGGCTTTGTCTTTTCAGTTGTAAATCCTAACTGGCTTTTAAAGCTTTCATTATTCTGTTCTGTGTGATTGAAAGAAGCTGGCATCATCACCAAGCTTGCAACAGAGGAAACATTTTTTTAATGTTCAGTGTTTAAAAGATGTCAATGTTATTTTCTTTGTAAACAGAAGATGATGGATAGAAAATCTGCCGAATTTTCAGCAAAAGGGAGTAATTTCTTCAGTTCTTTTTCATTCCTTAATGGAAAAAGAATTATGGAAATGAGAGCAGGCATTGGATTAAGTGCTTCCAATGTTCTTTCCCTGCAGACCAATAAAAACATAACTCCTCCATTAGGGAAATTTAGTTTTTTGAAGGCTGTGTGAATTTGAGTTCTGAATGAGTGAATGAGATGACTATGCTGGGGTAAACATTTCCAGGTCTGATTATGTATTTTAAGTCTTTTCTAGGTGGATACCAGCTCTTACCTTGTCTTGTAGGTCTTCAGAGCAACTCTTCCTGTGATTTTTTATATTGGCTTATCTGGTAGTACCTCTGTAGTGCAATCTCTCCTTACAAAGAGCAGCAACAGATTTCTCAGAATCATGGAGATTGAACAATTTCTCCTGCCTGAATGTGGACTAGAGTTCCTGGCTTTTTCAAAACACTCCAGCTGCTTGAAAAGCCCATAAGCAAAATTCAAACAGTACAAGTGTCAAAAAAACCCCAACTTTCCTGTGCTTCCTGTGGCATGTTTATAGTAGTTACAGTCTCACCCATGACTATACATGGTGCAGATTGTAGCTGTCTACCTTAAAAAATATCCTTTATCTGTAAGTGGGAAATGGATGTACAGCAGTAAACTGATGTTCCTGGGGTGTTCAAATCAGGTCCCTGAGCAAGGGGGAATCCAAGTGAAGACATCTTTTCTTTCTGAGTTGTTAACCATAAAATCAACACTAATTTCTAGAAGTTCTAGAAGATCACAAATAAAAACTAAAGAGGAGAATCATTACAAGTCATTATCACTGATCCTTACTTATAAATTACTAATCATAATTCAGTTTCATATACAATATTACTTAAGCTGTCAGATACATTGCAGAAGTACAGAAAGATGATTTGTCCTCATTTAGTGTAGAGGGGACTGAGGCACCAAGAGCTTCTGAAACCTGTCCAAGATCTGGAAATGATTAAGTGGAATTATTTTTACTATTATTATTATTATTATTATTATTATTATTATTATTATTATTATTATTATTATTATTATTATTATTATTTAGTTGTAAATAGTCTGGATGTAGCCAAAATGTTCTAGTTATAATTGATCAAATAAACCCCATTCTCCCCTTTATTGCTGAAGGGCTGATCCCGTGGGAAGATGCTGCAAAAACAGTGAAGGCAGAAAATGTAATTACTGTGAATATTTGGTCACACAATATGTGAGGCTGGTTTTATTTTAGTTTTTTGAGGTTTATTTTTTGAAAACACTGCTGGGAATTGTTTGTCTGTCACTAGAGTGTTCCCTGAAGGCCCAGTCCACCACAGGACTCCCAGGAATCATTTCTGTGTCCCTTTATATTTTATATGCAGACAACTTAGTCCTTCTGCCATGATCCAGAAAAAATGACATCTATGAAAATACTATCTTCGTTACAAATTCAGGAGGTGAGGAGAACATGCCTGACCCACACAATTCTCTGTCCACACCCTGATCATTCATTCCTAATGGAAAATATTTGAAATGCTGGAAAAAAAGACATTGGACATAAAAATTTTCAACTTCTTGCTGATTTTCTTACTCTTCTATCTCCTCTGCCTATCCCATGTCTCAGGCAGTTGATGAATTTGATCAGCTGCGTGCTTCAGGCATTGCAGAGAGATGCTGGCGGTGAATTCCCACCTCACACATTAGATTTTTGGCTGATTTGATGTGGGGTCACCCCGTGCTGGTGCTGTGGGTGGCTAATAGCCCCTGAGAAACCAACTGTGCAGGCTGGGGCTGCCTGTGGAAAACACGAGTTCCCCGGAGCCCCGGCTGTGCTTGCACACAGGAGGAGCCAGATGGTTGGAGCTGTGGGTTTTCTTTGCCTCCTCTCTGCAGGAGGAATACCTGAGATGGATGTTGCCAGGTCGCTGTGTGGCTCCTGTGTGCTGCCAGCTGCTCTGGCTCTTCTCTCAGAGGTGTGTTTAAAGCATAACAATGAGAAACTGCTAGAACTCTCTGTGGTCGTGTGGGAGGTGGGGAAGAGTTCGTGTCTTGCGTGCTGCAGACCCTGGGATGGGTCATCCCAGCCCACAGTGTGGTAGTGAAATGTGCCAGATGGTTCACAAGTGCTTTGAGGTCTAAGGCACTCTCCACATGTTAATCACGTTTGCTCTTCTCCAGCCCTTGGGCATGGCTTGTTCTCATGGTGGGCACACGCTGTCACACACTGGTGTCATCAGAAGCTGTAATTTTGCAGATTTGCCTCTGAAATGCACTGCTGCAGTCAATCACCCTCCCAAAACACCTTTGGGAAGCTTAGGTCAGGTCCCATATCACCTGCACATGTTAAAATTGCAGGTTGGTTGGGTTATACCAGCAATAGAGGCAATCTAAAGCAAGGCACTGCCTGGGCCAGACAGAGCTGTGGTGTCCACTCTGGGTTTGTCCTGGACAGGAGGAGTTACTGCAGGGTGGGTGCACCCCAGGCATGCCCCCAGCCTTGGGGTCAGTGCTGGGCACAGCTCCAGATGTCTCAGCCAGGCAGCCGTCCCCATCTCACACCCGTGGTCTTGTTCCAGGGCAACCCACTGTACTTCCAGTCCGCCAGAAACGTCACCGTCAACATCCTCAACGAGAAGACAAAAGTCCTCACTCGCCTTGTAACAGGTAAGGAGGGGGAAAGGCTGTTTGGAGGGATTAAGGAGGGGTGGAAGTGGGTGTTTTAGGATGCTGTGCTGGCTTCAGACAGCGCACGGGGGGAGCCTGGGTGTCTCGTGGAGTAGAAATGAATTCTTCACTCCACTTTGTAGAAAAAAGCCAGAGACATGAAAGCCGTGCTGGAGAGGCACCTGGCTGGGGCTGTCTGATAACAAAGCAAACCGTCGTTTTCATTTGAAAGCCAGTCCAGAGTTGGAAATGTTTGTTGTATGACATCAGGGTCAAGAAGAACACACGCCAGGCTGACATTTCTGTTGTAACAAGCACAGGTTTTTCCTAAGACATTTATAACTTGCCTGAAATCTTGGGAGCTCCGGAGCCCAACTGTGGCGACAGTTTGCAATTTAAAGTCCTTCTGCTGATGAAGAACTCTCTTTGCACCCAAACAAGAGTGTGTTGGATGGGGAAATGTGTGTTTTGTACATCCCCAGTGCACAGCAGCCAATGAATGAACACGAGTAATTTGGGTTGAAAGAGCCTATTGCATTATATAAGCTATATGGCACTGTATATATGGTATATAATACATATTTGATATGGGACAGAGATATATTTTCTGAGAATTTCTGAGACTGTGAGAAGAATTGGTGTGTGGCAAAGGCAGTAATCCATAAACATGTTTCTAAGTTGAGACTGGGTTGCTTGTTTTGCTTATATAACATCTTGGCCTTTAGTCACAGTATTAAATAATTAAATATGCAGCTTCAGTGAGCAATTATTTAGGCAGCATGTGTGAAACTTGCCTGGAGGAAGGAAATAAATTCAACCCCAGGCTCCCTGATTCTCACATTCAGAATGAAGGTCTTCAGTTTGTTGGCTCTCTGTGTATTTTCAAGAGGGTGTTTGGTTCACTGGAGCAGTTCCATGTCATGAGAGTTTGGGGCTCAGTGATACCTCCCAGGGTGATGCTCTGGTTATTGAGCTTTTTATGCATTCAGCAGCAACTTTGGTTTCACAGTGGAGCAAAGATGTGGTCCCATGTAGTGTGTGCTGCAAGGATGAGCGGGGAGATGGTTAATAAGCAAGACACAAATCAGATTTAAAGTATTGGATTTTCTCAGTGTGGCTGCACGAGTTTTTAAGTATTTCCAGGGATCTCAGCATGGCCAAGCTTGTCTGAGGTGCAAACCATGTGCATGACTCTGTGTGTCCAGGTGCCAGCACAGGTGATCTCTGCAGGGAAATGCTGGGTAGGGATGGAGTTTTTAAGAAAATACTGGCTTTCAAGTGTTATTTCTCATGTCTTTTGAGAAATGAGACTGGTCTTGAAGATGGCCGGAATTAATGCAAAGTCCAGTCACTTGCCTCGTGCAGGATACTATTCCAGGGCTGTGGATTAGATGGAGTTGGCAGGGCTGTTCAGTGGTGATTTGTCCAAAGTCTGGCATAGTTCAGTAACCCAGGGCAGCCTCTTTGTAACTCTTGACAGCCTTTGAGCCACAGACCTGCACAGAATCGCTGTTCAGGCACCTGATGTTTATCAGACCCCACAACAAAACGCATTGCCAGAGGCTTTCCAGCACTGCAGGGCACAGCAGCCTGCAGGAAAAGCAGCAGAATTGAAATAAGATCTTGGAAGGAAAGTTTTACTTGTCTAAAAATTTTCTGCAGTGTGAGAGGGTGCCATTTTTCTTGGCCTGCACATGATTGAAGGGTCTAAAACAAAACATTTGCTCCTGTGCTGGTGTTTGCCTTTTTTTTTTTTTTTTTCCTTTTTTTTTAATTGGGCTGTGCATGACACTGGTAGAATTTTAATCCAGATATATTTAAAAGGTAGAGAACCAGGAATCTTTTACACAGCAGCATCAGTCCAAGCAAAATGGGCCCAGGAGCTCTTGATGCCTCTTACACCTGCACCAATACTCTAAAAGCATGGCTGGATACATTCATTTCTGTTTCACATATGGGTCTGTCTTTTTGTAAAAATATGCCAGCTATCCCAAGTTCAGTGGTGCTTTTATGGCACACATAACCATTAACAAAAGCGTAAGCAGAAATATTTGAGCAGTTATTACTTGGGTACAAAACTGCCCTTTTCCAATAAGATCTAAAAACCGTCCATGTTTGGTGTCTCTGATGAAATTTGTTGAGCTATTATTACTCAGCAAATGGGTTTATTGAATGTATGAAGCTACTGTGTGATTTTCTTACACTTTTCCCTAAAGTAAAGCTTCTTCCCCCTAGGTCCTCAAGCAGTGGAAGCACACAGCCAAAAATTTGAGGTGAAAACCCTCTCTGGAAAATTGCTGTTTTCTGCAGATGACAATGAAGTGGTGGTTGGAGCAGAGAGATTGAGAGTTCTAGGTAAGAGATTATTAAGCCACAGTTTTAATATGCACCTCTTCAAATCCGAGTATAGTTTTGCCTGACTTTCCTTCCTACTTGCTGAAAGCTTCTTTTGGAGATAAAACCTTGTGCTGTCTTCAAGGCTTTGAATCTTCTCCAAGCAGATAAAGGCCAGGAATTGCTATGTGAGGGCTTTCTTAAATTGCACAATTTGTTATTTCCCCTCCAGAAAAAAAACTCCCCTGGAAGTGCTTTGTCTGGCTGAGTGAAGTAGATTTAAAACCAGTTTTGGAACATGAACAACTTTTATCTCTTGGATCTGGAGGGGAGGACAGTGAGGGGCTGCCCCAAGGATGTGCCCATGTCTGCAGCCATGTGCAGAGACCTCAGGGATGATATTTTCAGTGCCAACACAGTCACCAGCTCCTCCTTCATTCTGTAACAAACACCAGGAGGATCTGCCACCCCAGCTGTGCTCCCTGCCAGGCTTTACATTGGTATTTCCTAATAAAAACTGGGGATACACTCTGGGTTTGGGATGTAAGGGTACTTTCTTGTTTCTTTGGATTTTTTTTTTTATTTTTTTCATTAATTGGAGAAACAAAACAGTCGTGGCAATTGTAAATTTTGAAACTTATTTGATAGTCATGTAAAATTAACTGTCTGGAACTTGAATTTTTGTGCTCCCCAGTTCAATCCACGCTCTTTGATTAGTCTGGGAATTGATCAGGAATGTTTTTACACAGGACTAGAGTTGGTAGCTCAGTGTTGTTCACACTCACACAGCAGTGCTGCTCTGTGGAGGCACCAATACCTGTTTTATCGTGGCTTGTTCTGAATGCATCTTTTCATTCCAAACTGTTCCTTACTTCTCCTGTAAAAACAGATCAATAAGGAGCTTGGAATTATATATAGATATAAATAGTTAATATTTATAAATATTTAATAGTATATAAATGGGACTTGGTATCCAACCCTTAACATTTTTTGCTGCCTGGTGTCCTGCTGTTCTGGATGGTTCCTGTTTGTGCACAGGGTGGGTGTAGCTCTCTGCAGGTCACTGTTGTTACACACTGGACTAGTTCAGTCACCAGCTATAAAAATTTAGGTGGGTTTCACAGGATAAATGCTGAACTTCACAAAATTAAGAGTATCTTTGTTAGCTTATAACTTGGAAGAGGCCCGTTCAGAATTCTTGCTGTGTTCCAGAGCTGGGAACATCTGTAACAATCTGTGTTCTCCAACAAAGTTCCCTTCAGGCTGCACCATTCAGAGCTAATTCATGCAGGGTAGATGAAGTCAGGAGGCAACAGTTTTTAAGCATTTTCTTGGAGACCTTAAAATAAGAGAGATTTACATCTTCAGTTTAAAAAAAAATACAGAACCTTTTTCTTACAAGCTCAAGTACTCCTTTTCAGATTACATACTTACAAAAAATTGCTTTTAAGTTCCTCAGTACTTTAAAGAAACCAGGAATTAATTTTAAAAGCTTTTTGAGTTTTTGCCTTGTTTTAGTCTCCAGAATAAACAGCATCAAAAATCTGCTGATCACTGTAGTGCAGTTTCATTTTCACCTGTAACTGAGTTTCTCGAGGTTGGTTTGACTTTTTCAGATCTATCAGAAAAGAAAAAGTGGAATGATACTACTGGTGATGTTACATGGCAAGTATTCCGATGACCTTGAGCTGAAATGCTTTCTGAGTTCATACTTGGCTTTGTTTTTCTCCAGCTTTGCTTCCCCAATCTAATTTTATCTCCGAAAGTGTTTGCCGTGGCTGTTTGCCATGCTGGGAAGTGTTGTACCATATGTTCATGTTTCTTGCGGTGTTTTTGTCTGCTCTGAGGGCCAGTCCGAGCTGCAGCACACAGACAAATTCCTTTGATCATTCTTCTGGTGTTTGGGATCTCAGGTGCTGCTGGAATGTGTCTGCTGACACCCATCTAGGCCATGTAAATAATTTCGACTTGTTCTTGTTATTGCTGAACACGTACTTGTTGTAGAGACAAGTGTGTGTCAGGAACCTGGCATGAAAGTCATCCCCCAGAGGTCAGAGCAGCAGTTCTTGTGGCCAGCTTTGAGTATTGCCAGAGACAATAACTCTTTTCTTTGTAGGGACTTTTTCTCTGAAAAGTGTTTTTCTGAAACTTTGTGCCACAAACCGATGCTGAATCCTTGTCCTGAGAAAAAGAGGTGCTCTCCTGTTTTGAAATGAACCCTGCTCTGGGTATCTAGAGGATTTTTCAACATTAGCAAGGGATAAGAAAGGGGAAGAATACACAGAATTATAGATTAAAAACAAATGCAAGTAGGACATACGATGCATTTGATGGTGCTTCAAAAAACTGCACAGCACGGACAGTACAGATTACCATATGAAAAGTGCTTTTTATTTGATTTGTATTTTGGGGAGTTATTTCTGATTTATGAGCATTAAAGGACACAGAAAGACAGAGCTGGCCACCTCTGCTTTTCACAGATGATGTAATTTAGAGTACTTCAGTGATTTTATTTGATACAGTGTCCAGTGAAATCTGTCATCGTAGGAGAGACTGGAGGATGACAGGAATTTCTCTGAGGGAAGGGCAGCCCCCTGAGCCCTCTGGCCATGCTGAGCTCTGGTAGCATTGACACAACCTTTAACAGACACAAAGAATTCCCCCTGCCTTGCTCAAGTTGGGAGCTCAGCACTGCCTGGGTCCAGATAACTCTGAGGGAGCTTGCAAGAGTTCCTGCAAGTACTCCTACAAAAACTGAGCCTTACAACCACTCCACTCTGCCCTTTTTGTTCCTAGCTCTTTTGCCAGTGCTCGTGTGGTGATGGGATGGGATGGGATGGGAAGGGAACACATTCTCACTCTTAGCATCCCTTCCCCCCCACCAAACATCACTCTGTGGAATTTGAGCACCCCACGGTCTTTTAAGAGATCCCAAAACAAACCTCAGAGCTGCTCTCCTTCCTCGGAACCGCAGCTCTGTGTTTGCAAGCCTTGGATTTCTGAAGGCAAAATCTGCCCACGGTGCTGCCCACGTGGGGGGATGTGGGACCCTCCCCTTGCCATGGGCAGCAGAGCTTTGGGCAAACCCAGGGACACACGGGCTCACCAAACACAGAGCCTTGTAGGGGAGATAAATGAGCTGCTCCTAATTGAATTTGTATTTGCTGCCTCATCCTCCCTCCCTCCCTCCCTCTAGAAATGAAACGTACCCAGACCATCTGAAAAATGGGGTGTAAGAAACACTCTTTAGTTAGAAGAGTATTAAAAAATAACTTTGATATATATTAATTACAATTTCATTTAATAGCTTATTGAACGTTATAGCATTTATAAATAAAAGACGATCATAAAGCATTATTCTGACTGTTAATTAGCTCTATTTATTCTGCAGATTAGTTTTTAAATATGCCCTCTAGATGCCACTTGATACTAATTAACAGAGTTACATTATTATCTCTATAGAAAGGCATTTTTAATTAAATCTAAAGCAATTTAAATTAGCATGAGTTTTTACAGAAATTAAACTCTGGTCAGATGCTTAATTTAGCCTTATAAGACAACATCTGATGACATGCCAGTGTCGGTTCTCCCAAGGGCCTTGACATCTCTTTTTTTTTTGAGATTATTTTTTGAAGTTTGTTTTCAGGGAAACTTGCCAGTATACTCTGGTGTTTAATATTTATGATGGATTTAACCAATTTTTTTGAAGACTAAATGCTGATGGGAATCCACAGGCATTGCAGTGAGCTGAGATAATACCACAAAAGCCACACTTCTGCAGCTGACAGGAGCCTGGCAGTCCCTGGGTTTGAGTGTGGAGGGAGGTTTGTGTGGGAGGTGGGATTGCACAGGCTGGATGTTGTCCTCTTACAAATCTACCAAGCTTTTTAACCACTGGTAAAATTACTATTTTGCTTTCCAACAAGGATAATCACAACCCCACAGGGTCCCTTCTCTATACAGAACAGTACAGGGTTTGCTCCCTAACCCCAGAAAATGTCTCTCAGACATTTGGATTAGCAAGGCAGAAACTTTTCTTCTCATGAAGCCTAATGATAAAAAATTGGCTAAAACCTTCTCCTGTAGCAAACCCTAAAATATTTAGAATGGGGTGGGATGCCTTTCATCTCCCAGAATAAAAACTGCAGGAGCAGTGTGACCCAGCCCAGCACCATGGCTGATTTAAAAGTACCTTTGATCTCACCAACCTTTCCCTGCCTGCCTGGTAAATAATTAGCCAGTAGCTCCATTTCTGCCTTGTAGGTTTTTTCCTTCTGTAGCCAACACCCTTTGGGCAGTGAAACATGTGGAACATGTCAGAGCTGACCACAGGTTAGACTTTTAGGACTGTTAGTTTGGGAGCATTTTTTTGTTCAAGTTTCTCTCCAGTTGCCTGGGAATGCAGCTGGAAAGAGGAATCAGCTGTTGAAAGGTTATTGCAAATTTATTAATAAGTTTGGAGTAATTAAATCCAAAGCACATTTCCAGCATTTTATTTATGAGCTGTTTATTAAGGAGTTTAGAGGATTTAGTGGAGGAACACCTGCAATAAAAGCAGTGCAGACCAGGAGTGCAGGGCTGTTTACAAGAGCAGGCAATGACAGGACGAAGAGAAATGGCTTTAAACTGAAAGATATTAGATTTAGATTAGATATCATAAAAAAATGGAATACTGTGAGGGTGGTGAGGCACTGGAATGGGTTTCCCAGAGAAGCTGTGGATGCCCCAGTCAGGCTGGATGGAGCTCAGAGTGACCTGGTCTAGTGGAAGATGTCCCTGCCTGTGGCAAGGGAGTTGGAACAAAATGTTCTTTAAGGTCCATTCCAAGCCAAATCATTCTGTCATTCTGTGACTCTGTGACTGCAGAGCTTTTTCAAATGGCAGTGTTGGGGCTGTTACTGGGGACAGAGGCAGGAACCTGCTCTGTATTTATAGAACACAAGGTGCAGTGACTTGTTACTCACAGAAGGGTTAAATGAGCCTTTGCAATAACTTCCCTCACCCTGGACAAGAACAGGATT